CATGAATAAATGAATGTGGGAAAAACTGACAACCTTTGCTGACGTAATCAAAGAGTCCAGGTGAGTAGCTTAGTCTGAAAATTCCCGCTTATTAGATTTTCCCATGTATTTCTCATCTCTGATTGAGCATTAATCATTATATTATCTGGGTAGGTTGATGTCCCACAGATATAGATAGATATAGATAGATAGGTAGATAGACAAATAGATAAACAAAGGGAGAGAGAGGGAGAGAATAAGGGTTCCCCTTTAGCACTAAAAAAAAAAAAAAAAAAAAAAAATGAGGGTTCAATACTAAGGGCAGGTTAGAGTGGTAGCAAGTAATAAGCTTTTAAGATCGTGGCCAAGGCTATGCTCATCTAACCTGACCCAAGTAAAAGATTGTGTTGCATAGCTAACAACCACGTTAAGCAAATAATAGAAAATAACAGAAGAGAATGAAAATGAACACATCGGTCTTAGTTTGCTCATAAACACTCCATCCACCTTCTGCAATTAACAGATCTTAACGAACAATCCACTTTAAAAAGAACATCATCTCTTTATCACAGAGATAATTCGAAATTAGCCACAAATATTCGTAACTCAGATTCGTAATTCGTAGAAAGGTTACCAAACAGCTATGTTTCATAAATTCAATGTAATATAAAAAAGCATAATAATCACTCGTCAATTAGTTCAGTGAGATAATTAAGTAAATGCAGTAATCACTGGTATCAATGATAAAAAGACAAGCATTGAAATCACCCACTTAGACAAGGAAGATTTGCTGTCACTACAGTGCCACTTTATATCAAGTCACTTAGCTTATTTTGCGTAGCAACTATCCATGTATTTTCACTTTGTAAAATGATCTACTTTAAAAATATAGTAAATTCCATCGTATTCCATGTAACTCCAGGATATAAAGTAATAAAAACGTGATGAAAATAAAAGTAAGAGCCAGTTCGATTAGTTATAGTTATCATCAAGCCATATAAACAAAATACAATCATAACCCTTCACGAAAAACAGAATAACACTACCTCCTTAGCTACGCAGATCTTTCGTTAAAACAATGAATATAAAAATCCGAGAGAATAGAAGTTCATTAAAAAGGTCGGCTTTTTGAGGGAAAGACCGAGCGGATATCCCTTAGCCAAGGCTATTCGATAAGGTCGCTGACCCGACCTTTAATACGAACAAGGTCGTGCGCCAAGTTGGTCCATCTCGAGTCTGCGCAGCAAGACATTCTTCTTAAAAGTGTCTGCTCTTTAAGACGTTAGTCTTAATTTCATTATTATTTGATTGCTCGTTTTCTTTAAACTTTTAAATAGGTCTATTAATAAAAGCATATTACAGATTTATAAAAAAAGAAGAAACATAAACTGCATACAGGCTTTTAAATATAAAAGGAATTAAAATACCAATGGCTAGCTAACAAGGCCTCAGCGCCAAACTTGTTTGTTTTCTGTCACCAACTCTCGGAAATAAACGTTCATTCTAATCTTAAGAGCCAGACTTGGTAATTCAGCAAATAAGGCATCCTCCTCGCCTCAGACATCCCGATCGCTCGCCAGCGTCTCCTGCAGACAGCTCCTCTGTAGCGTCGCCTTCTGCGCCTCCTACAGTTTCCGTCAATGTCAGGCGCCAGGGATAGAGAGAGGGGTGGGTGGGTTCTTCTACAGGTGATTATTATTATATATTCTTTTGTGTGTAACTTAAAAATGATTCGGACTCATAGACATAGTGGTTAGAAATGCGCGTCACATAACTCATGTTTGTGTGTTCACGGGTATACATTATATATCTGTGTATGTATACATGGGGATATGCGAATGTATAAATTTACATAATATGATAAAGGAAATAGGGATATGATTGATGACATCAAAGAAACAAAGTCGTGAAACGAAGTTTTATTTTTTTTTAGTAAATAATTTCTGATGCTTTTCTGTGAAGACTTCTGAGACGATCAACAAATAAATACTTTTCATAGAAAAATTGTGAGTCTATCCTTGGTAAGGTCGTTGACAGCAGTAGTACTTGTTGGTATAATTGCTCTTGCACCAGTACTTGCACGTGTTGTATCCGAGCACGGGTCTTTGGTCGTAGAAGCTGTAACCAGGCACAAGACCAGGGTAATGAGCGGTGTTGAAGGATGCGGCGCCGTGGATGCCAGAGCCTACGAGTCCTACGCCATGAACACTACCTCCATGGACACCGCCGTGAACACCTCCGAGGACACCGCTGGGAACACCACCAAGGACACCTCCATGGACGCCTCCGTGGACACCACCGAGCACTCCACTGCCATGGACAACAGGTCTGTATCCACCAGTGCCATACGTGCTGTGTCCAGCAACTGCTGCTATGAGGCACAGAGCCACGATGAGGGAGGTCACTGCCATGTTACGAACCATACTGAAAAGAAAAGTATACGTTAATATTATATTGCGTATGATCTGATTTAATAACAACCGTATCATTACTCCTACTCTGACTTGAACATTTAACAAATTGAAAGGACTTATTGCAGAAGTGACTTACTTGAACTTCAAGTGGAAGCTGCACTTGAAACATTCATTCACGGTGCCTCCTTATATACGTTGTCGCATCGCCTGCCCGCTCTCGCCCAGGGAACTCCAGGCGAGAGCGAAGTGTTGCCAACGTTCATTTTATCTTTTGTTTACTATCGCGACGGTCTTTATTATTGAATCATTGTCCATATCGAAAAATATCCAAATGCTTTATTTGTAAAAATGAATGACCAAGTAAGTTCTTTTATTGATGTCCTAAATAGTTATAAATAAATGTGGGAAGAATGGGCAACCTCTGATGACGAAATGAGGGATTCCAGGTGACTTGTATAGTCTGGAAAAGTCCGCTTATCAGATTTTCCCTTGCATTTCTCATTTCAGATTGAGCTTGTATGTATTATCTGGCGGAGAGAGAAAGATAAGGAGATAAATAGAGGGAAGGGAATATTAGATTTTAAATAATGATTATAGTTTATGGGGACATGTGTGTGCTGTAGGGATGACACGAGGAATTATCAAGACAGATTTTCAATCATGTTATGATTTTTATCTAAGAGATCGGAAGAAGCAATATTTTATGGCGTGGACTAACTTGAGTCTATTATCTCCTGTCATCATGCGGGAGTCTAGAAAATAAAAACGAGACCAAATGAACCTGTGGGAGTCACTCTTCAGGCAAGAGCGAGGTGTTGCCAAGTTCATTATTTTTCTTTTATTTGCTATCGCAATCATTTTTACCGAATTATCGCCCATATAAAAACTATCCATATGTTTTATTTGTAAAGATAAATGACCCAGTAAGTTCTTATATTGATATCATAAATAGATATAAATAAATATGGGAAGAATGGGCAACCTCTGATGAAATGAGGGATTCCAGGTGACTTGTATAGTCTGGAAAAGTTCGCTTATCAAATTTTCCCTTGCGTTTCTCATTTCATATTGAGACTGCATGCATTATCTGAGAAGGGTGGTCACTGCCACGGTAAGGCCATCCTGAAAAGAAATGAAATATACATTAATTTTACATTATAACTGATCTCAAAAGGTCAAAGACGACCATATTGTGGCACTTAATCTGATTCGAACTTTTGATCAAAAGCAACTTGAACTATAGATAGATAGACAGATAGAGAGAGAAAGAGAGATAGGGGGGGGGGGGATATTGTAATTGCAGCAGACACCTGTGAAGAAGAGAAATCAATTGAGAGACAGATAGTTGGAGTTAGAGATAGATAGCTGTAGATATATGGAGAGACACATACGATGGATGGAGAGAGGGAGAATGCAGTAATTGTAATAGATAGACGGGTAGAGAGTTAGAGACTGACAGACATGGATAGAGAGCCAGACATAGATATAGACATAGATGGAGAGGTAAGTAGGTAGAGAGAGACGATTCCCCCACTAGCTCTTCCTGGAAAGTCCATATCACTGCTATAGGCACATTAACCCAGAGTCTGTTGCGAATGAGTAGGGAGAAGGGGGAAGTGTAGAAAAGAGATACTGAGAAAATATGCTGGTTCACTGAAATATTTATAGTGTCTCCTGATCAATTCAGGTAAACTAACGAGGTTTTCATAGACATGCTCTCCTTATATATTAATTTTGGTTCATATATAAACTTGCCATATTTAATAAATAAATAAATAAAAAATCTGTGTCTGCGACTGAGTACACTACAAGAATGACTTACATATAAAGAATAAGTTGTTAAATAAACAGAAATATTACAAGCCATGAAGGTTTGCACAAATAACATCTAATAATAAGTCATTTGACGTTATACAGTGAAAACAACCATTGACAAGATCTGTCTAGTAACGTTTTCGTACTTGTTGGTTAGGATCACGAATCTAGATTATCCAGCTCTGTTTAAAAAGTGTTTGAAGGAAACTTGTGTTATGAAGCCAGCATATATTTGTTCAGAGATTATAGTATTATGTAGAACGAACATTAGATCAATGATGTGTTTTAACCGAGATACTTGTGGCTGTACTCATCTTTGGTCACTATAAAGTTACCTACTTTTCCCTTAGTGTTTCATAACCGCAATAAAAGGCTTTCCATTTATGGGTACAAATATATACAGATTTCAGACAAAAGTGGGGATGTTGACAAGCGGATTTTGAAATAGGAGTGATGAAAAAAAAAAAAAATCCGAGTTCTACTCATATTTTCAATCTTCAGGTGATGTCATATATTTCATTGGTTAAGTCCTATTACAGGTCATATATTTCGTCCTTGGGTATGTGCGTATATATACATGTATACATACATATACGCGCACATGCATACACACACACACACACATATATATATCTGTCTGTTCATCTGTGTGGGTATGAATGTGATTATATTTATGTATGTTTAAGTTTGCAGATTATGTTGGAGAAAGCAGGAATATGATAACTGACATTAGATAAACAGATTTATAAAGATAACTTTTATTCTTGAGGAACTATAAATCTTTTTATGGTT